GGCTTGTTAGGGTTTAGGGTTTAGGGCTTAGGGTTTCTTAGGGTTTAGTGTTTAGGGCTTAGGGTTTGTTAGGGTTTAGGGTTTTCAAGGTTTAGGATTTCTGAGGGATTCAGGCTATAGGGCTTAGGGACCCTAAACCCTAAACCCCAAACCCTAAACCCTAAACCCTAAACCCTAAACCCTAAACCCTAAACCCTAAACCCTAAACCCTAAACCAGCAACCAACCCTAAACCCTAAAGCCTAAGAAGCCTGAGGGTTCAGAGGCGGGGTTTAGGGTTTGTAGTTTGGGGTTTAGGGTTTCAAGGTTTAGGGTTAAGGTCCGGGCAGAAAGGGCAGCAGTCGAGTCCCTTGTGAAAAAGGGTTTACGGTGCAGGGTTGAGGTTTTAGGGTTTGGGTTTAGGATTTTGGCTCTAAGGTTTGGGGTCGGGGGTTTAGGGTTGAGGGCTGGGGTGTTGGGTTTTGGGGTTGAGGGTTCAATGTTGGGGTTTGGGGTTTCCGGTTTAAGTTTTAGAGTTGAGGGTCGATGTTTGGAGTTCACCTTCAGAGCTGGGGCTTAGGGTTGCAGGTTTAAAGTTTTGGGGTTGAAATGAATCCTCAATTGGGGGTCATATACCCTAGGAAGTCCACTCAGGGTGGGTTGCTATTACGGCGACTCTTACTCTTACTATTTCGATTACTATTTCTTGCTACTATTACCTTTACTCTTCTTGTTCTTGTTACGATTACGATTACTGTTACGGCATTAGTAGCAGTAATTGTAGTTGTAACGGTAATAATAGTAGTAACAATAGTGAAATCATATTGATAATCGCATTAGAAGTAGTTATGGTGCTGGTAATAGCAATAGTGGAAAACTGCAAAAATGAGCGAGTCGGGACAGGCAGGTTGTGGGGGAAGGGGTCGCTTAGCAAAATTTTTGTGGAATCACTTGGCACGTTTTTTGTGCTTGCGCAGGGCGTGCGCTCCCCCCCCCCCCCTGCCCCCCCTCTTGTCCACGGCAATCTAAACCCTAAACCCCTAAACCGTGGGCGCCGTTGGGGTTGAGGAGGTCTTCAGGGTTTGGGGTCTAAAACCCTAAAAACCCTAAGCCCTAAACCCTAAAACACCCTAAGAAGCCCTAAACCCTGAACCCTAAGAAGCCCCAAACCGACCCTAAACCCAATCCCTAACCCCTAGACCCGTGCTTCACTCTGGAGGACGACTCGTCCCGCAAGCGATTCCAGATGAAGAAAAAAAGCCCAAAACCCTGAGAAACACCAAAACCCTAACAAACCCAAACCCTCAAAACCCTATGCCCTAATCCCTAAAAACGCCCTATGCCGCGCCCGAAACCCCAAACCCTAAGAAGCCCTAAGAAGCCCTAAGAAGCCCTAAGCCCAAAACCCTAAGCCCTAAGAAGCCAAAAGCCCTAAACCGTGCGCCCTAAACGCTAAGAAGCCCTAAACCCTAAGAGCCCGAAACCCTGAGCACCCTAAACCCTAAGAAACCCTAAGAAACCCTAAACCCTAAGAAGTTCGACCAAATTGTAAGCGCTCTTCATGAGTTTCTAAGGGTGGTTTTTCTGCCAAAGAGACTGTTTTTTGCATTCTTTTCAATGTTGAAAACTACAGACCGCATTTTTGATCTTGAAAGGTAGATCTGGCTCAATCAAGCAAACACCAGAGGCGAAATTTACCAGGTGCTCTCACTTGCTCGGGCCTGCTTTGTTTTGTTTGACAATCAAGCCCGGAAGTGTAACCAGTTTTGCACTTTCGGCTAGCCGAAAATTACGGAAAAGTATGCCGGTTTTCAGCCTTGGGCTTGCTTGCGACCATTGTAAGCAAAGATCGGCCTCTGTTTGGACGGGGCCTGTATGCATGCCTTGTTGGACAAGCAATTTCAATACTCGGCCTTAAATTTTGTGGGGTCCACTGTCATTTACATATACGTATTAACTATTGAAATATTACCTATTTTTGCACTTTTGGATGGGTGAAAATTGCAAAAATGAGGTCCGTTTCCAGTCTCAGGCCTGGTGCCCCTTTTGGTGTCCCTGACTAAGTAGAAAAATACGGAGCAAAAAATACTTATTTTGGCACTTTGGGATGGGTGAAAATTGCAAAAATGAGGTCCGTTTCCAGTCTCAGGCCCGGCGTCTCTTCAGCCTCCGGCCTGCTCCCCTGTATTTTGGCTCATGGATGGGTGAAAATTGCAAAAAAAAATTCCGTTTGTGGTTTATTACTATCAAAATACCTGTTTTTATAGTTTTGGATGGGTGAAAATTGCAAAAATGAGGTCCGTTTCCAGTCTCAGGCCTGGTGCCCCTTTTGGTGTCCCTGGTTAAAGTTAAGTAGAATAAAATTTACCGATTTTGACACTTATGGATGGGAGAAACTTGAAAATGAGGTCCGTTTCCAGTCTTAGGCCTGGCGCCCTTCAGCCTCCGGCCTGGCTCCCTGTATTTTGGCGTCCCTGATTAGGTATAAAAATATTGTTTTTATACTTTTGGATGGGTGAAAATTGCAAAAATGAGGTCCGTTTCCAGTCTAATATAATATAACTATAACATAATATGATATACTATAATATAATATAATTATATATAAACAGATGTGTATATACATATATACATATATACCTCTATACATATATACTTATATACCTATATACATATCTACATATACATATATATATATATACATATATACATATATACATTTATGCATATATGCATGTATACATACATACATACATACATACATACATACATACATACATACATACATACATACATACATACATACATACATACATACATATATACATATATACATATATACATATATACATATATACATATATACGTATATACATATATACATATATACATATATACATATATATGTATATATGTATGTATGTATGTTAGTATTTTCCATAAATCGGTTTGTTCGCTGCAACATTTGGAAACAACGTTTGGTTGCTTGGTTGCTTTATATCGGTTTGCTTCAGCAAAATGAAAAAATAAAAAATTAACGCTATTTAACCCTAAGTTTAGGGTTTAGGGTCATACCCCCCAAACCCATACCCCGAAACAAATAAAAGGAGAGGACGCAAGCAAGGATTGTTGCCATACCCCTGAGGGGTATGCTCAAGGGGTACGTTGAATACTTCTTAGATAAACCTACACCCCTAAACTCTAAACCCTAAACACTAAACCCCTAAACCTCTAGACCCCTAACAAGCTCGACTCAGACCCCTGCCACGCCGAACCTTGGTCTGGACTCACCTCTGCAAGCGTGTCCACATCCTGGCAGCAGGCGGCTGCAGGCGGCTGTTTAGGAGATAAGGCTTCGGAGACAGGGTTTAGGGTTTAGGGTTTAGGGTTTAGGGTTTAGGGTTTAGGGTTTAGGGTTTAGGGTTTAGGGTTTAGGGTTTAGGGTTTAGGGTTTAGGGTTTAGGGTTTAGGGTTTAGGGTTTCGGGTTTAGGGTTTAGGGTTTAGGGTTTAGGGTTTAGGGTCCGCCGACCCTGGCGGCGTGTTGGATGGGAAAAGGAGGTGAAAACCTCCCTCTTTCCCTCCTTACCCCCCCAAAACGCGGGGGGGGGGGGG